TTCACGACCTGAAGCCAGGTAGAGAGAGCTTCACGACCTGAAGCCAGGTAGAGAGAGCTTCACGACCTGAAGCCAGGTAGAGAGAGCTTCACGACACACAGCTTCATAAACACCCAGAGGTGCTGTGAAGTAACGACCTGTATGGAGTGTGTGTGTTGGAGACATCAGTCTGTGTGTTGGACATCTGTGTGTGTTGGACATTAGAACATCTGTGTGTGTTGGACATTAGAACATCTGTGGGTTGTTGGACATTACAGTGACTCAGTGAAGCACCAACAGTCTCCTCATTGAACCAGGATGTCCTTCAGGGACATCTGCAGGATTCTCTTTCTTTGACAGATGAGATGAGAGTTCGAAGACAATAATTCATGGATGCTGATGAAACATCTCTTATTTGTTCTCTTGTGTTTGTGCTCTCATGTTGTGTGATCATTGTTTGCTTTCAATTCAAATGTCTTAACGTGCGAAGCATCAAAAGGTTCTTTATAAAGAAAGATTATCATTATAACTAGTTCTTTTATTACTGAGCTAACGAGCGAACAGTTGTTGATTCTTCAGTTTCCGCTCCGTCTCCTCCAGGAGTGCGAAGGATCGAGAAGGTGCTGATCGCCAATCGAGGAGAGATCGCGTGTCGTGTGATGCGCACAGCAAAGAAGATGGGTGTCCGCTCTGTGGCGGTGTACAGCGACGCAGACAGACACTCCATGCACGTGGCCATGGTGAGAAGCTCGATAAATCTAGTTTCTGCTGTGGCTCGTTGTTCCTGGTTTCTTGTTTCCTGCCCGTTGATGGCGTCCAGTGTTAAACAGTCCGGTGTTTCTCCTGCGTTGTCCTGCAGGCGGATGAAGCCTATCACATCGGTCCTCCGCCCTCTCAGCAGAGTTACCTCTCAATGGAGAAAGTTTTCGAAGTGGCCAAGAAGTCTGGATCACATGTGAGTAATCCTGCGAGAAGAGACACTTGTAAACAAGTCTAGACTAAAACATTCAGGTATTTTTAATCCTATATCTAATAATGTTTATTATTATTGCTCTTATTTGTTTAAATGTGTGTGTGTGTGTGTGTGTGTGTGTGTGTGTGTGTGTGTGTGTGTGTGTGTGTGTGTGTGTGTGTGTGTG